CCCCCCCCCCCCCCCTAAAAAACCTAAAAAGAGAAGCAGATATGGGCTACATACTACTAGGGCCATTTTTTAATGATCTAAGCGCATCTAAAGTGCATGGCGCAAGTGCACTTAGGGCATGTCCGAATCCACTTTTGCTAGTTTAATAACGGAAAAATGGCCCAAAAGGGTTGTATCTATACTCTTAATGAGTCAAGTGTGTGTTTTGGGCGTAATGTGCAATAAACTAATCAGAGTCTCATCACCCATTCCCTTTAAAAGCCAGTTGCGCTCGCACCATGGCGAATTCGCCATTTACATGGCAGAATTTGCAAGAGCAAAGACTGGACGCTTTTCCAGAGAGGAAAAGTTAACCTCTAACCTTTAACCTCGCACACGAGCAGACCAACTACGGGGCACGATAATAATCTTTTACAATGTAATCCTTTCATTTTTAATATTTGACATGTTTGTGTGCTGCTGCGCATCCCTGTGTGTGTAATAAGCAGAGTGTATGCGCGTTGAGCAACCACCTATAGGCGCATATTACTAACGCGCTCTTTATATAACTATATATATATATATATATATATATATATATATATATATATATATATATACACACGCACACTTATATATTCAGTATATATATATATATATATAAATATTGCGCTTTAGACAAGGTTTCAGTTGGTCAATTGCGCATTTCAGTTGCCTCAAAATAGCAACGCGACAATAATGCGCCTGAACACACCTCATTTTCAGACCAGCACGCCCATGGGCGCACAAATGGGTGCAAAACAACGTGGTATTTAAACAACGTGGCGCAGGACGTGAAAATGATAACTGTGTCGGGCTGAAACTAGCAAAAAACACTTGTGTCACGCATGGCACCACATTATGCTGGGTGTATGAATGGGCCCCTAATATTTTTAGCAATAACAATGACTGAAGTATAGTTTGCTTATGTGTTATAAAATATGTCACTTATTACAGTCATTGTCTAAACTTTTTTTAAATAAAAAATTTGAAAAATAAACAAACACACACACACACACAAAAAAAGGATATTTACTGTAAGTATAAAAAAACTATTTGGACAGTTACTGTAAGTTAAATTGTAATTTAAATTGTATAATTTAAATGTATAAATGTAAACTCTGTGTATGTAGTAGGATTTTCGAAAGCAACCACTGGGCCAATAACAAAAACATTGCTAATATAAATTAGCGCAAACAGAATTTAATCTATTTTACAAATTATACCCAGTGTATTTCACAGACATCTTCTCAGCATCACTCTAATGACCTATGGCGGTGAGGGAGCTTGCACCCAACGAGCCTTCTCATAATTCTGATAGTGTCTGTGTTCGTGATTTCCCTCAGGCTAGCAATGATTCACAGCTCACCTTATCCTGACAAGCCTGACAGAGCTAAATAAAGGGGTGGAGACTGAAGAAAACTCTAAAAACCTTTGAGCAAACACATCAGAGACCCCAAAATCTTAACCTCGTCTGACATGCTCCTCAGGAGCACTCAGAGGAACGTCTGATAAAGACTGATTTGAGCTCAAATGAGAGCTTCAAACATATCTGCAACAGGGTGCCATTGAAAAGCATAATGATCCTGAAGTGTGGTAAGCTTTATTTCACAAATGAATCAAGCTAAATGTATGGACTGCTGTTAGAGCCTAAACAATCAGACCGTTCTTGGATCTGGAAATTTCCTGTAATTCACTAAAAAGACTGAATCGATAAATAGCAAAAAAACAAACTCTATGTGTGTGTGTGTGTGTGTGTGTGGATGTGTATGTTAGACCAGTTTACGTGTATATGTGTATGTTAGACCAGTTTATGTGTTTATGTAGTCTGTTGGACTAGTTTAAGTGTTTATGTAGTTAATAAAACCTTACTTGTATCACACTTGATGTGTTCATTGTTTGCTTATAACCGGAGTCACTTATTATGCAAGATTTACGCTACAAGCTTTTAGTAGAATTGTACAGTAAGAAGTTATTTCCCTTAACCGGGAAATTAACGGTCTTAGAATTGACAGACAGTTGACCCTGAGAGGTCAAATACATATCTACAGCGGATCTAAAATATGAATAATGAATTATAACTAGTTATGGTTAATTATTCATATTTCCCATGAGCTGATTCGTTACACGTTAGTTAATAAAAATACTGATGTTCATTGTTAGTTCATGTTAGTTCACAGTGCATTAACTAATGTTAACAAGATTTTAATAATGCGTTAGTAAATGTTAAAATTAACATTAACAAAGATTAATAAACGCTGTATAAGTGCAGTTCATTGTTAGTTCATTTTAACTAATGTAGTTAACTAATGAACCTTATTGTACAGTGTTACCTCTAACGCTAATAAATAATTCCACTGAATCCCTCTAGACCATTTTCCTTTTATCTTTTATCAATAAAGAGATAAATCTGGCAGGATATGAAAGCGCTCTTTATGCATTATGGTTCCTGTATAAGCTTTTTATGATAAATCCAGAGAACAATATGTCTGTATGGTAAAATCGATGCCAATTCTGTCAGTTCAAAAGAAAATGTAGAATATTCAAACTAAATAAAAGTACACATTAAAAAGTTAGAGAATCAGACATCAAACAAGACTTAACAATGGGTGCCTTTTCTCTTAGAAGCAGAACCATTACCATGTTTTTAGAATATAAACTAATACTATAGAAACAAATACAACTTCAAACTTTAATTCTACTTCATCTTTTGACAGCAATGTTCACAGCAGTGCACACACTTCTCCAGGCTTCTCATCAAAGGTCTATAATGGCTGCAATACTTCTGTTGATCCCAATAACAATTCCACAATCCGTAGTTTTTAATAAGTCTACTAATTCTGCTCCCATCCCTCAATTTTAATGCTTGTCTTTTATCAAGAAAGCCTAATTGCATATCTTTTACAATGCAGTCCTCAAGAAGTACCATGGGACACAGGTAGAAAGGCAGATCAATGGGGTTTCACTTTCTTTTGTACTCTTTGTCCTTGCTAGGGGGCGATCTATGGGGCAGCTTCTGATAATATAAGCCTTATAAGACCTGCATGCCATATCAGAACTGTGTTACAGGAAATGGGGAAAAAAGTACAGAAAAAGTGATAGAATGATGGAGTGATAGAAAGATAGATAGAACAACAGATAGAATGACAGAAAGGTACATGTAGTCCATAACAATTTTCCTCTTGAGGACAATAAAGTATACTACTACTACTAAACAGAATGATAGATAGATAGAACGATAGAATGATCGATCGATAGATAGATAGAAAGATAGATAGATAGATAGATAGATAGATAGATAGATAGATAGATAGATAGATAGATAGATAGATAGATAGATAGATGGATAGATGGACATGCAAAGCATTGTCTTCCTTCTGTTGTCTCCTCTCAAGCTTTCCCTCTGTCCTTCCTTTTCATTTTCCTGCAGCCCGTTCTATTCTCTTACTCAGTCCTGCAACTTATAGCCTCAGGTGAAAGCTATGGTACTTCAAAGAGCCTTTTACTGGCAAAAGGAGATCAAAAGAGGTGAGGCAGGCAGTGAGAGGACAGATACCGAAGAGATGAAGAATGAAAAGAGGACACAATGAGAAAGAGAAGGGAGAGAGCTCATATGGTTTGTGATGAGGAGGGTTCGCTCTAACTAGCAGGACAGAGCAGTAATAATGGCAGAGCACATGATCACAGCGGTGCGAAGAGTTTCATACTGTGAGTTTCATACACGCTCAGCGGACACAACGAATCACAGGAGCCTGTTTAAATTCTCCTGATCTGAACAAGCGTGGCACAGCTTACACTGAGATCACATAACAAATGCAAATGTGTACACACCACATCTACAGCAAAGAAGGTTGAGGGAATGAAGTAGGGACAGAGAAATGTGCTCAAATGCACACAGCTATTTTCTGATTATAAAACATTAGCTTTCCTGTACCAAACAGTAGAGCATGGGGATAGCAAAATCAAGGTTATGGGTTTGATTCCCAGGGAAATCAAAAACTGATAAATTGTAAATGTTTACCTTGAACGCAATGTAATTGGCTTTGGATAAAAGCAGTCTTTTTGCATTACCTTGTTGATAATGTAATGGGGCTTAAAGGAAAGTAAAAAGCTACATTAAAGCAATGATCCGTCACAAGTCCCTAAGGATCATTTTAGAGTTAGCGGCTCCAAGTACTTGGTCAATCATGTTGTTGGGCAGCAAGATGAATGTCTGCACAGATGGTCAAACTCTCTCATGCAGAGCTGTGTGCTCACATGTCAAATATTACTCTGAGAACACAGCAAATATACTGGAAACAAGACAAAGAATGGTAAAACAAGAATAACTAAGCTGAGACATGTCTAAGTGGCAGGGGTCATGCTATCCTGCTCACCGTCGTTTGATTAGTTTGTGCTGTCATTGCAAACTACCCTGTCAGAATTAAATGAGAATGTAACCAGGAAAAATAGATTTACTGAACCTCAAACTTTTAAACTGTGAAATTAGTTTCAAACTATGTATGTGAAATTTGTTTCCAAATTTGTAAAGGTTATTCCTCCCATGCACGTCTAGCACAGAATCAGTATAACGGAAAAAGAAACAGGCAATACTGGCTCTGGAAATGGTGCACTTGGTTAAATTTGTGATTATATAAATCAGAAAGGTGCTACTGAGCTTCCTGTTTGTGCCAGAGATGCTCCCTCAACACAACCTTTTGCTGCACACCACAGTTGACAATTACCCAACAGTCTAAGCAGCATTATATAGCGAAAGTGTGGACTTGAAGGAACAAAGACTGAGGATCACATTTGGGACAGGATCATAATATAAAGGCACCAACCTTATGCTCTGGGTTTGTAGGTAGTCTGGGTCAGTAGCGTTCAGCATGGCCACAAAGCTCCCTACAGGGATATTCTCTCTTCTGATGACAACCAGAGGATCTGGGAAGAACACTGGTCCTTCATTCACATCCATAACTGTAATGTAAACAGTTGCTGTAGAGCTGGAGCCATACACAACGTCAGGAACCAGAGGGTCTTCATTTTCCACTTTTATCAGCAGTGTGTGAAACATTGCACTTTCATAGTCCAGAGGCTGAGAAAGACAACAGGCGAAATGAATTATGTAAGAGCAATTAACTAACAAGCAAGTAACTATACCAAACGAATGACTCTTTATCATTAGTCTTAATCATTATTATTGTTATTGTGTAGGGCCACTTTCCTGGAGAGTTTAGCTCTTAGACATGAAGTTTATAGTAATCCTGAAGACATTAAATAGCTGGTTCAGGTGTGATTTATTTGGTTTGGAGATAAACTCCACACTGGGGGTTTCCAATTGGTAACCTAAATTTTATAGGTTTAAGCCCCATAAGGGGATCTTCATGTGCCTTCACCATTACAAGACAATCATGCAATTGAACATTGTGTACCTTTACCACCGATAGCATCCCTTCATTGTTGTCCAGATTGGTCTGTATCTCAAAGTTCTGGTTGGGGTCTCCATTGATGATGGAGTAGATAGCTCTCCAGGCTCCAGTGGCTGGGTCATCTCTGTCGTCCACCGTCAGGTTCACTACCACACCAGTTGATCCCTCATTCACTGATGCCTGGAACTACAGCACAGGTTGTTTGATCTGTCAAACGTTTTCCAATGTTTCAAACCAGGAAATCATATTACAGCAACACTTTAGAATTGGTGAATTTGCTATCTGTAATCCACATCAATAATTCTCTTTCAAATTTCTTCAGATAATAAGACAGAATGAGCAGTGGAGGAGTTACTAGTTGTAGAAATGAATTAATTTCTCTGGAAAGGAATGCTTTGACTAGATCTCTACAATTGTGCCTCTTATGTTTACAGAGATTAACACAACCAGTGGGACAGGCAGCTATTGTTTTCAGAAAACCGTGCACCACCTTGAGTAATGAAAGCAGTGCTGATCTACCTACAGCTGCATCAATTAAATTCCTTGTTCAGTCGTTCCTTCCTTGTTTTGAACATGCAGAATCTCTGTCTTACATCCACCTCCCTCCTACCCTTCTTTCGGTCCCTCTGTCAAAGATAAGGCTTAAGCTAAGCCTGTATGAAACCACTCTTGTTCTGTTTCGTCACTGGAGGAAAGCCACTCTATTCAGAGTGCCGCAAATCTCCATAGTCCTTGTTCAATCCAACCCAATGTCACAGGCCTGTTTGGGGAGATGAAGTGTTCCTAGAAGGGCCAGATGAGCTTTGGTCCCCATCAGCTCAGCTATCATTTCTGTTTAGTGGCTTGTGAAGTGAGCAACCCCTCAATGCCTCAGGGATGTGCTTCCTTTATAAGAGCTGTCCAGTCGGCATGGCATAGGGGGCGGATGCAAAAGTCATCAGCGTCCTGAAGAGGGACCTGGGTGGCTGGATGAATTAGCGAAGTGATGCTAAGCACCCTGTGGGGTTGAAGTACTGCCACTAAGCCCTCTCTCTAACTTGTGACCCATCCAATATTACCATTGAAGAAAATCCTTAATGTCATAGAGGCACGTCTATATTGGCAACATTCATGCTTAGTTTTTCACTTTTTCACATTAGGTGTGAAAATGCACTGCTACTACAATCTGTTCTAGACATATCAGGCAGTAGATGCAGGCAGTGACTTCTAGCATCAGTCATTTTATTTCACCTGAAAATATAGATTTTTCATTTCTAAGGCCCATCTCCCAATAAGAATAACTTCTTCAATAATATGAAGAAAAACCCAGTGATTTTGTTCCTTACAAGAGAGAGGGGGAAAAGCACTCCTGGAGTCAGCCTTACACATAAGCCATGCTTCATCCTTTTCTGAAAATAGATCTCCATAAATTTTTTTTTTTTCATTTCTGTGAAACAACCCCAGCTGACCATGTCCTTAAAACCTGTGTGTGTGTCAAAGGAGATGAGATTGTACCTGTCTGCTGAAGGCCACGGAACGATTACATCACTTACATATTACTTCAGCTCCAATGAGAGTATTGTGTCTACAGTGAGCCCTGCAGGTGTATCACTGTCAAAACTGCTATCAACCAAGACTTTATCATGTGTGGAATAAACAATTAAACGAAGGTTGCCACAAATGTTTACCGAGGGACACAAATGCATCTGCACAGCTCCACGCTATGCATCTTCACATCGCTGACCGATCGTGTTTCATTTAATCATCTGGAGCAGTGAAGCGGTCAGATGGACGTATTCAATCTTTGTTTGTTGTTGATACCCTGCCATACCACTGATAAGACCCCAATCCCTTTTGAGTTCACAAAGCAACCAGCAGTGTGACAAACAGAGAAGTTATCAACCCAGAGGCTGAACCCCGAAACTGAGGGAACGGTAAATGCCACCTAGTCAAAGCCCCCAGCTACAGAACACATGAAAAGTGAGGAGGGGAGAGAGCGTGTGGCCAGAGAAAGATAAATCACTTCCTACAGAGGCACTGATGTGGTGAGACCCGGAAGCCATGAATGACTGGGATTATTTGGCTTGGCATTCATTATCAGTAATGTAGCGCAGTGTGAAGGCATCATTGAAGATTCGTTTTGAGCTGTGCTACTGCTTTAGTAACAAATAGCTCCGAAAATTCACACCTGATACTATACCTTCCCCTTCGTCTCAACATCTGTTTGTGGAATCAAATCAACATTCATGACCTTTTGAGAAATTCTGTCTGACTTACATGTCTCAAATTGCACATCTAAAACCGGTAATGTGAGAAAAAAGCTGCACGCTGTTTTCACAGCTTAACGAGATTTTACAAAATAACACTTTCCATCTTCAGCCAAACTGGGAACACTTTCAAGGTGAAAGGCACTCCAGAAGCCTTCAGAGAGAGAGAGTCATGTGAAGAGTCTCTCCTGATGTGAACATGGAAGACAATACAGGTGCCTTTTAATGCCACAGGTAATGCTTTCAATTCAGAGCCTCTCAGAATGGCAGATTGAGATGTTCTACAGTCTGACGGCCCTTCATTAGGAGCCAGAGACCCCTATAGTATTGGTTATTTTGTCAGAACTTACGGTAACACATTATAAAAACATAAAAAAGGGCCATCCAGATTTGTAGTGCTGATTGTGATTGAAGGTCTGAATAATGAATCTAAATATGGAAAATATGTTAAAGGCATAGTTCACCCCAAAATGAAAATTCTGTAATCATTTACTCACCCTCATCTCATTGTAAAACTTACTCTCTTCGGTGAAACATAAAATAAAATAGAAAAATGTCTCAAAAACAGCTGATACATTCTTAAAAATATCTTCTTTTATGTTATATAAAGACAGGATTACATGAGAATGAGTAAATGGTGAACATTTTTATTTATGGTTGAACTATCCCTTTAAAGGTAATTGCAAAGTGTAGCTCTGTCATGACAGCAGTTGACCTGAAAGAGAAAACTAACAGTTTTAAAATACTTTTAAGTTATGCTAATATCTGCTTCAGCACCCACTGTGGCAATGCTAAGGTGAAACACTATTATTTGCAGTCTGACACATTTTGGAACTCAGCGATGCATGAAACCAAACTTGTGTAGCTAGTAACTTGGTTTCAGGTCATATGCAAATTATTTAAAATAAATTATTAATAATTAAAGAATTATGTTAATGCCAATACATTGCACTGTAAAACTTTCTGAACCAGAATAAATATATGTGGACTAATGAATTGTGTTAATTAAGAATATCACACTAGCCGAGGGGTTTCATTCCTGCTTATGCAGATTTTCCTTTTCTAAGAGTTTAGATCCAACTCTAATCAAACACACCTGAAACTGTTAATCAATGTCTTTGGGATCACTTGAAAATTGCAGAAAGGTGTGTGAGAGTAGTGATGGAACTAAACACTAAACCAAATTCCAAACCTACATAATGAAGTGATGTATCCTAATTTGTTTTCTTCTGCTATGCACTGTAAGTTTGCAGTTTGCTGGTGATGGAAAATTACACACTTCTGAGTATGATAAAAGAGAGTACATCAGTATTGTGGCATAATAATTCATAAAACCAGCACGACCATCATGCCACAAAGTGTTGTTGATTTTGGGATATAAACTTAGCATCTAATTCATTTAAAATTGTACATTCATACTTATTGTACACCATCTAGGCACCTTAAGCATACTATTTTAAGTATACTATAATTTGGGATGTGCTAATTCTAATCTTTCATGCATGATGGATAGTATACAAATTGGGATGAAGCCTAAGCACAACTCTTACCTACAGTACTGTATATGAAAGATTTGCAAGTAGACATATTTACATTCAGATAACAGACTTTTCTGTCATCTTGTTATTCAGCAATCTCTATAACTGTATCTCTATAAACTTCATCCGTACGAGAATTTCGGGTCAAAGATGTCATAATATATATCCCCTGAGATGTAATAAGAATCTCTGAATGTTCACAAATTGCTTTCCACAGCTGATTTTATTAATGAGGACATGTGAAATAGTTGCACATCTTCTGCAGTTCATTATTTACCAGCTGGACTTCACAGGACAGATGGGACTCATAAAAGAATTTTGGAGTTATGACTTGTAGTCTTACATTTAGAATGAAAGATGGAATGTAAAATGGAATTATCCTCTATTAGGAAAACAGAACTGTGTGAAATCTATATGGGATGAAGTTTGTCACACCAAACCAACTGAGAATGTGTCAGTATTTATCAGTTTGGAAAGTGTCAATGTAAAAAAAAAAATACACTTGATAGTGGGAGAAGGATCTATCAGCTGCTACTGTTAATCAAAATGTCATTTATTTTGGTAAGTGGTAAAACATAAAGATAATCGTTCCCACATCATTCAGTTTCACTCAATTTGTTGCTATGTTAATTAAAATGACTAAAATATAAAGCATTTACAACTGTAATTCTGTCCATCTTTAAATATTTATTTATTTACTGTTTGTCTAAATTTATATGTATGTAATGGTGTGTGACAGTACAATTTTAAAAATCATTTATTTTTCCAACAGATGCAATGAAGGCACATGTCAGTGTGCCAAAAATCAAAGTGACTGCATCTCAAATGCATTTTAGCACTTCATTCAGTCAGATTCAAGTTCTGGTTCCATTAACTATTATTTTAGTACTTAAATATTTGGAGAGTAATAAATTGAATTCCATTACAAAAATAATAAGGTAATTTCAATAATGAATGTACAAAAAATTATTGGAACAAAATGTGTTTACCAAGACTTTTTAATGATTTAGCCTTTTTGGAGAATAAATGGAATTGCAACAATTGGAAATAAATCAAGCGTAGCGTTATCTGGCAGGTCACGTCAGTCAAGCTAGATCCACGGCTACCTATAGGGATACGACGCTTATCACAGCATCCTTATATAAGGTCCTTCAGTATTATCAGCAGCTTTCGCATGGCTCAATAGCTAATTACCCTCCTCCATCCCCAGCTCCTCCTCTCATCTAGTCAGGATTCGGCCTTCTGATTCCCCTTTGAATCAGACTAATTTCTAAAATGTGTACATTAAATTATTGAACATTAATGATATCTGCAATACATATATGTTGGTTCTGTACTGTTTACACTAGGGGGGTTATCGCTGCTCTCCCTGCTCTTATCCATGCTAGGTTGCCTGGTTGTG